GGAGAACAACCTTATCACCAGAGACAGAGATGGCAGCAAGAAGAATCTACATAAACAAACTTGCTAAGTAACCCTTATCTACCATTAGGGTCCCCCATATATTTACTTTCCTACAATTTGCGGCTCCCAAAGAGTGCAGAAACCCTGTTCCTTTGTCTTGTCACTTCTCTACAAATGTATTGTCCTTTGTCAGAATGGTATAAAAGCCTCTAAGCGTAGCTGCTTCTTTGGGGATTTTTCCTCTTTTCTATGAAGCCAATTCCCCTATGTCACATAATGCTTTTAGTATCAAATCAAATTTGTTTGCTTTAATCCTGTTAATCTGTCTTTTGTCAGTGTATTTTGCAGGCCCATCCACTGAACCTAAGAGGATAGAGGAAAATTTTTCCTTCCCGACAACCTTTTAAAGAGTATAGGCCAGGGCCGGCCCCGTGGCTTACCGGTTAAGTGCGTGCGCACCACTACTGGTGGCCTGGGTTCAGATCCCGGGCGGGCACCAACGCGCCGCTTCTCCAGCCATGCTGAGGCCGCGTCCCACATACAGCAACTAGAAGGATGTGCAGCTATGACGTACAACTATCTACTGGGGCTTTGGGGAAAAAAATGGAGGAGGATTGGCAATAGATGTTAGCTCAGAGCTGGTCTTCCTCAGCAAAAAAGAGGAGGATTAGCACGGATGTTAGCTCAGGGCTGATCTCCCTCACAAAATAAATAAAAAATAAAGAGTATAGGCCAGTGATGTTGTAGTGATGTTGTAGAATGTCCCTCAAACTGTTTATCTGATGTTTCCTTATGATTTGATTCAGGTTATGCTTTTTTTGCAGGAAAACCACATAAGTGATATTGTATCCTTCTCAGTGCATCATATGAGGAGGCACCTGATGTCAGACAGTCCCACTATTGATCATATTAACTCTAATCATTTGGTTAAGGTGGTGTCTTCCAAGTTTCTCTACTATAAAGTTACTGTTTTTTCCTTTGTAATTAGTAACAAAGAGGTACTTTGTGGAGAGGTGCTTTGAGACTATGTAAATATCTTATTCCTCATCAAACTTTTCCCTCTAGTTTAGCATTGATGATTCTTGTTTGAACCAATTACTACTATATTGCAAAATAGTGGTTTTCTAATTCCATAATTTGTTGGCATTCTACTGTAAGGAAGAGCTTCCTTTTTTTTTTGTGAGAAAAATTGGCCCTGCGCTAACATCTGTTGCCAATCTTCCTCTTTTTGGTTGAGGAAGATTGTCCCTGAGCTAATATCTATGCCAATCTTCCTCTATTTTGTATATGGGGTGCCTCCACAGCATGGCTTGATGAATGATGTGTCGGTCTGTGCTGGGATCTGAACCTGCAAGCCCTGGGCCACCGAAGCGGAGCGTGCGAAGTTAACCACTACACCACCAGGCTGGCCCCAAGCTTCCTTTCTTATCTGTCTACCTGTCTAGCTATTTATCTTCAGTATGGACTCATGTATTCTTATTTTATTCAATGGATTATAATCCATTACTCTTATTATTACTTTGACGCTTAAATTATACCAGCTTTGGCCAGTGGGAGTCTCTTCAAGCTGCTTCCTATGTCCTTTTGACATATGCCCATCATTTTTTGATCACTTTGTAAAAAAATGTTCCAGCCCAACAAGATGTTCCTGGTTCATCTTGTACTTACTCTGCTCCAGCCTTAGAATTGACCATTTCTCCAAAAAGTCCTAGTTCTTTTTAATAAGAAATGGTATTAAGAAATCAAGATCTGGGTAGCAGACCACTACTTATGTAATCTACAATAATAAATTTCTTTTTTAAAAAATGTACCTAACAGAATCAAATGCAAATCCTCTCTGAGGGAATCCACCTCATTCAAGGCCTCAAAAAAATCTCACAAATGAAATTCTGGAAAATTAGCATATCACTGTCAAAAACAACCAAACACATGTGGAAAAAAGATACCAGATGCAAGAACCAAAAGAAACAATAAACAACAGAAATAGATTTACAAGGACTTTTGCTCTTGACGTGTAAGACCTTAGAGAGAAAATTGTAAAACTTTACTGAGAGGTATTAGGGGAGAACTAAACAGATAGAGAGATATACCATGTTTAAAAATTGGAAGACAATATTACAAAGGTGTTAATTATCCTCAAAGTGTTCTATAATTTCAATGCAATTCCAATGAAAATCCCACTAGGATTTTTCATGAAACTTGAAACATCTAATCTAAAATTTATACAAAAAATTAAAGGGGAAAAATAGCCAAGACGCTCCTGAGGAAGAAGAAGAAGTAAGTGGGGAGACTTGTCCTACCAGATATCAAGTATTATTATAAAGTTATAGAAATTAATACAGTGGGACACTGGTACAGGGATAGATAAATTGACTCCAGTGGAACAGAATAAAGAGCCCAGAAACAGACTTATGCATTTATGGAAACTTGATATACGAGAGATTTGGCATGGCAGATCACTGAAGAAATTGGGGTGGGACAATTGGTTAGCATAGAAAAGGTCCATTTCTGATGTGTTGAAGATTTAAAGTGAAAGGGAAAACTTTACAATTTTAAAAGAATGTATTGGACAATATCATTCTGACCTCAGGGAGAGAAGGATTCTATATACAAGATACAAAAGGGCTAACCATAAAAGAAAAGATTGATAAGGTCAGCAATATTAAAATTAAGAACTTTTGCTCAAAAAGACAACACAAAGATATGAAAACATAAGCTGTGAACTGGGGGAGGCTACTTGCAACACACATAACTGATAAAAGATTAGTATACAGACTATAAGAATTCCTATAAATCAATAAAGAAAGAAAAGGAGGGAGGGAGAGATAGGGAGAGACCGACAGTCAGAGACAGAAACAGAGACAGAGAGACCAAAAGAAAATAAACGGAAGAGACAAACAGGTATTTCATAGAGGAGAAAACACAAATGGCAAATAATCCATGAAAAGATGTCCAACATCACTAGCAATTAGGGAAATGCAAATTTCGATCACAACACGATACCATTCTACCCACTTCATCAGCAAAAATTAAGAAATCTGTTATTATAAAGTTGGTGCAGATGAGGATAAGGGACTATAACACACTGCTGGTGTATAAATGAGTACAATCACTCCAGAAAACAATTCAGCACTATTTTATGAAGTTAAACATTCACATACCCTGTGACACAGCAAATCTACTCCAAAGTCCCCTAGAGAAATCCTTAAATACACATACCAAGTATGTTTGTAATAGCGAAAACAAACAAAACAAAAAACAAACTAAATAATTGAAATGTTCATTGACAGGAAATAAAGGGTAGCTACAGCGATCAACATGGATGAATCTTAGAAACATATTGAGTGAAAAAAAAGCAAGTCACAGAAGACTAAAAACAATATAATACCATTTTTATAAAAACTCAAAAGCAGTTAAAATAAAACAACATTTTTTAGAATACATAAAAGTATTATTCTTAAAAGGGGTAAGGGAATGATGACAAGAAAAAAAGTCAGGAGGGGCAGGCTGATGGGAAAGGGACACAAGTAGAGGTGACAGTACTGATTAAGTTCTAGTTGTTACAACGGGTAGTGGGGTCACGGAGTTCACTTTATTACATTGCTTAATCTACATCAGGTTTCAAGTTTTGACACTATTGACATTTTGGGCTGGATAAATCTTTGTTGCCGGGGCTGTCCTGTGCATTATAGGATGTTTAGTAGCATCCCTGGCCTCTACCCACTAGATGCCAGTGGCACGCCCCACCCAGCTGTGACAATAAAATGTGTCTTCAGACATTGCCAATGTCCCTTGGGAGCAAAATTGACCCTGGTTGAAAATCACTGACATATAAATATGTTATATATATTTTTGAATTCTCCATAATAAATCAAAGTTTAAAAGTGATAAGTAGAAGTTTCATCTGTCTGTGAAGCACAATTAGGAAGTGATCATTAAGAGCTGAGAAAGCCAGAGCCTGCTGAAGGCCTTTGAAGTGACAGCGCAGAGCAGCGAGAGCTGACAGTTTCAGAAGGGTTTGACTAGCAGGTTATATTTCTAGAAATAGTACTGGGTACTGGGAAATCAATGACTACAGATACACTGGAGGAAAATTTCTGCAGCCTTTCTCAATTCTTTGGGAAATCCAAAAGCTTAGGTTAGCCTTATAGAATACTGTTTAATTTTTAAAAAATCTATTATTGTGCCTTCTGTTTGTATAAGACCTTGTAAGGAATTGAAAGAAGTCCCCATACTTGGTTACCTTTGTGGAGGTGGCTGTGACTGCAAAGTCACCACACATCCAACTGTGGTCCCCAAACGGCTGGGATATTTCCAGGAATAAGATCCAGATAACATAAGACCACTGCCCTAGGATGATGAGTGCCTGAGATCCCACACTCACTACTGCATCCCGTTAATCCAAGAGCCTCCCCAACAATAGTCCCATTTAACCCCTCATAGGGAGAGTTTGTTACTCTCATTTTTAAAATGGAGAAATACAGACACAAAGAAGATATATGACTTCTCAAGATAACATAATCCAGAGTAATTGATTAGAAACAGAACTGGCATGAAAATCAGGTCCCCTGAATCTTAATCTTTATGTTTTTTTCACCAGGCTCTGAACTGTGTTTGGGCATGTGTGGGTATGCATGCGCAGACTTGTGTGTGTGTTTGTGTGTGTGTGTGGTTTGGGGGTGTATGTGTGTTTCTCTGAGGACAAAGAGAGAAGACAAAGGATTGAAGAGAAGAGTTAGGAGTTAGGAGGAGGAGTGTGGTCGAAAGAGCATTGGATTCAGAAGACACTTTGGGCAAGACCTCTCTGAGTCTCAGTTTCTTTAACTGTAAAAACTCATAGAATGATTACAAAAATCAAATGAGATATGTATTTGAAAGCACTTGATGTTTCTGTATATAAATGTGATTGTATCATTAGAGTTATTATTAAAAATGTAATACATATGATAAGCAACCCTCATGGGTAGGATGACTCACATTTTCTTGGCACCAGCTCTTACCATATGTCCAGTTCAGAGGAATATTCAGTGGCTCCCAGCAAGGCATCAGGAGGGCGGTACCAGAGGGTCACAACTTCTGAAGAGTATGTCTGGCTGGGAATGGACTTGGCCCGAGCAAGACCTGACCAAAGGGGAAAAGCACAGAAGTCATTGTCCTGGGACTTCCTGGAGAGCCAAAGTGATGTATTCTACCAAGGAGAGTATAACTGGCAGAGTAAACAATATTTCCAAAATAATACGCCAACTTTGAGTGCTTTTAAAAAGCTATTCAACTATCTTGATCCTTGTATAGCACTCCATCAAGTGAATTTCTCAAATTTCGGCCTACTTTGCAGCGAGATGTGGCCTTCTTGGCAGCTAAGTGTAGGGAGGTGACTAAACTCTTGCCTCTATGATATAAACAGAAGTGATGTGTGAACTTCCAGACCATGCTCTGAATGGCGGAGTTAAGCACTCTTCCCTTTTCTCCTTCCTCCAGGCTGTAATGAGAAGGAGGTGGCCGCCATTTTGAAATATGCAGCTGGGACAACAGCCTAGGGATGGTGGGGCCACATGACAGAAGGTGCCAAGACACCATGGGGCCACCATGAGCTCTGACTGCTTAGGTCAGACTGTTATGTGTGAGAAAGTTAAGCGTCCAGCGTGTTTATATCTCTTTAATTTTGCACCTCTGTAACAGCAACTGAACTCAGTTCACAACTTATATGGCCACCTTCCATTTTTGCAGTCCAGGAACCCCCAGTTTAGTAGATAAAGGGATGGGATTGCTCATCCAAATTACTAAGTGTAGTAGGACCTTAGATGAGTCATTCTCAAGTGCTCCTCTGCAAAATGAGAGTACTTTTGTCAGTCAGCTACTTATTTCAGAGAATATCATCATTTATAGCTGGAAAAAATCTCAGTAGATGAGTTCACTTTGTGGGGAATTGATAAATGAATGTCTGTTAAATGCTTACGTATCTGGACGAAAGCTACTATCTCAGAATAAAGTACTGTGGCCCTAGTACCAGCATCTGACTTCTCTCAAACAGAGAAGTATGGTTCCTCAGCTCACACGGAACCAGTTTTTCAACAAATATTTGTTGAGCACCTACTATGATACCAGGCACTAGGGATACAATGTTAAGCAAAAATGGACCCAGGCTTCCCTCATAATGCCTACAATGTAGTGGAGGAGACAAAATCATCACACAAGTATATATATGTGGTGTGTGTATAATTATAAACGGTGACAAGTGCTAAAATGGAATGATACAGTGATACTCAGGGGACACCTGCATCACTTTGATGGGAATAAAAACCTCAGGTACCCATATAGACATACCTGTATAGATATACAGGTGAGCGGGAACAAGTGTCTCAGAGCCTCCTTCCAGCAGAAGTCTATCCTACAATCTAGGGTTAACCTCTTTATCCTGCCATCCTGGGATAACCTTGACCTATTCAGACAGAAATTGTACATCCACTCAGATTTAGGGAAACCTACTAAGTCCAGTTCACTTGACAACTGTCTCTATATCAAAAATGGCAGTGATGGGGGCCGGCCCGGTGGCGCAAGCAGTTAGGTGCGCACGCTCCGCTGCGGCGGCCCAGGGTTCGCTGGTTCGGATCCCGGGCGCGCACCGACGCACTGCTTGGCAGGTCATGCTGTGGCGGCGTCCCATATAAAGTGGAGAAAGATGGGCACAGATGTTAGCCCAGGGCCGTCTTCCTCAGCAAAAAAAGAGGAGGATTGGCGGATGTTAGCACAGGGCTGATCTCCTCACAAAAAAA